GCTTTAGAATTATTCTAAATTGATGTTATATAATAAAGATGTTGTCTCAAGACTTTATTACTAATAAAATCAGTAATAATATTTTTTCTGTATTGTTATAATGTACATTAAATATGCTTACCAATTCTAGATATACTCATTGGGTTTTTTATTTATCACAAATTACGTTTAATAAATGTCAAAGAATCAGATCTATAATTTCTTTATTAATTTTTAATACTGGTTTAGCCAAAAATCCTAAAAAAGGTTAAAAAAATCTGTAACTAACTGAGGAATATTTATAAAATATAAAAGAAAATTATAATCTTCATAAATAATTAGATTTTTAATAACTGCCTAGTCTATCAAAGATTTTAACTTCACTAATTTATCTCTATATTTGATTATTTTAATCTCAAACTTTATAAGCTTTAGCTCAGTCCTTATATCGAAATAAAGCACATTTTCTAAATCTTTATATTTTAATAATCAGATCAGTATTTTCTTTTGAATATAGGTAACTGTTGATTGGATTGTCTCATAAACTTCAGTGTGAGAAAATTCTTTACCTGAAATACATATACGTACTAAATTCTATTATACAAAATGAGTCATTTAGATTTGAAATTCTAGATTGTTCTAATTTTACTAGAACTAGTAGATTTTTGTTCTGACTCAAAGCTGTTTCACTAAAAACAAGCTTTATTAAAGGCTTTTTTTAGCCTGATGGCTTTTTCTGATTTGCATAGTAGTAATGAAAATTATAAAATTTTTTATATCAAATTATATATGCATTTTTACTAATGAATAATATGATAGGTTTATACATTTGAAAGAAAAGAGATTAGAAGGTGATTCTGATGGAAATGAGAGGCTAAATTCTTCAATGTTAGCTTTTTTGAGTAATATTTCTACTAGTTCAAATTCAACCTCAGTAATTTCATTATTTATATTATTATTATATCTTTTAACTTCTAGTTCTAAAATAACTAAGAGAGGACTTTTATAACTTCTGATTTATTATTAGGCAGATGAATTATAAAATTAAAGACAGTTTCATTTTTTAGATAAATAGCTTTTTTCATACAAACATGTTTTCTGATTTCTTTAATGAATTTAGGCATTCTAATTATTTGCAAAAAGAATGATCATTTTTTTGTAATATTATCAATAATACCTTTTCCTTGTAACCCTTTTGAGAGTTTTTACAAACAAGCTCAGTAAATTCTACAACTTAGGAGATATTTGAAAGTCTTATACCAAAAGTTGATACATAGAAAGATATTTTTTTCTCATTACTACTGTTGGTAATAGTTATAATTTTTTTTATTCTACTTTGAAAATACTTTTAGATAAACATTTCTAAAAGCATTACAAAGTATGTTTTTAGCCTGTTTGCTTGAAAGCTTAAAAGAAATAGTATTTAGCCTTTTTATTAGCAAATTAAAATCTATGATAGGATGGACTGGCTTATCACTATTAATAAATTCATATAATAAATGACTTTTACATTTTGATAGAATATCTTCTATCTTATCCTTATTATCTACACTAAAAAAACTTTTTTCTTTAATACTAACATCACAAATTTTATATCAATATTCATTATATTAGAAACTTTAAATCACAATAGTAAGAGTGAGAAATGTGTTGAAAAGTCAAAATAGGTCATATTTCAGATATGTTATTTAGTATACTGTTTTAATATAATATTTTAGTAAAAAAGTTTAAAATAAAAATAAATAATTATTATAGATATTGAAGTGTTATCTAAGAATAATATCAATAGGTGATAAATATATTTATCAGTATCATTTTAATGAAAAAGAAGTTTGTGAATAAGGATGCAAGTAACAAGAAGAATATTATATTCACTAAAAAAGATATTAGCAATTTTTATGCAAATACAAATATTATAAAAGATTGATGATTTCTGAATATAAATTATGTAATTAGTATATAAAAAAGTATCATTCAAATGTATATTATCATTAAAAAAAGTTAGATAAAATGTTTTAGAATGGACAGACACTAGAAGCATTTAAACAGACTCTTGATAGAATAAAAATATCTAATACAATATAGTGTTGATCTTAGAAAGTTATTCTTAGAAAAATATGAGAAACATTTCTGAGAATATTAAAAGTAGGCTTTTTGATGCTTTTAGAATTCTGAGAAGACTTTTAGATAGGTGTTTCTACTGTTCTTAGGGTTCTTAGAAAAATCAGATCTTCTAGCTTTTTTTTATTTTTTTACCTATAGTTATACTAGTATATTATAAATAATATAGCATACAATATATAACATAAAAGATTTCAATTTTTTTTAAAACTTTATTTTTATTAAAAATATTAAGAATACTAAGAACAAACATAAAAGAATATAATTAATAAACTTAAAATCTTAAAAATCGATATCATAATTATCCCTAAAAAGTGTTTTCAAAATAATTTTCTAAGAATACTAGGGACAAAAATTCCATCATGTAAAAAATCTATCCTAATTCTTGATCTATTTTTGCATTCTAATATACTCAAAACATACTGGAAATATAATAAGTATGCTTTAATGACTCAAATTATAGGACGCAAAATTAGTATACTTATACTAGCAATGAATAGACATATAGTAAATTGATATACTTCTAAGTAATTAAATAGGCTAGTCATAGTAATGTATATTACATCTCTAACTTTAGAATACAAAATTGTCATATATATACTAGCAACAAATAGATAATAGTTGGTTTGCAGAATGACATACTTTTTGGTAATTAAATAGGCCAGCTTTGATAATATATAACGTATTTTTAACAAATGCAAAATTAGCATACAGTCAACTCTTGTTATATCGAACTCTATGTCTTAGATCTCAACTTCACTATAAGGCTATAGTGAAGATTTTAAGAGATTTGATTGGCCAATTCGCTATAACAAGAGTATTTTTATTATATTTGTTCAAAAAATTCGTTATATCAAGAGTTTGCTATATCAAGAGTTGACTGTATATATATTAACAACAAATAGGCAATAGTCAGGTTGTAAGATAATACACTTTCTGGCAAACAAATGGATTAGAACTTAAGCGCAATAAAACACAGTAAATCTGTCTTTAATTTTATTTATTACAAAATTAATATACATTAATCATATATTAGTGATATATCTACATTTGTATTTTGAATTCTCTGATCTGCAGTAGATATAGTAAAAATTTGTTTAAATTTGACCAGCACTATTCCTTAATTTCAGGTATATATTAGACATAATATTTCAGCATTCAAGCTGTCTAAAACCTGACAAACTAATAGAAATATTCTGGTTTCCTGCTAGTTTTATGATAGTTTTAAAAGAGTTTTAGGTACTTCTAGTTACTATTATAGTGATTCTTCAGATCATATATTCTAAAGATCAGCCAGAAATTATGTTATAATGCTAGTTAAAATTAATCGCAAATTTACATCAAATTATTGCGCTATCTGACGTGATATTTTTTTATCACATTTTGCTATTTTAGTAAGTAATAAAATAGGTGAAGAAGAAAAATACCTTTATACCTTAGCATGTAATCAAAGAAGCATAAAGAATAGAAATTTCGATATAAAACTTAGAATTCAAACAAGTATAGAGAACCTGCACTCTTATTACAGAACTTAACAGCTAATTACTGTATGTAAAATTCTATTAGTATAAATTATATTAGAAAATATTTATTGACATAATGCATATAATAAAATAGACACATTCAGGTTATTTGGTTATAATCATATTTAGATTATTTAATCACACAATTACAAATAATAATAGAAAAAGGTAAAGAAAAGTGATTTTAAAGGTAAGAAATATAGTAGAAGAAATAAGAGAATATAAAAAATCATCATATTTAAGTTATTTAATTAGATTATTTAATCATATTTAGGTTATTAATTTTAGATTATTTAATAATATTTAAATTATTTAATTATATCTAGATTATTTAATTATACTTAGATTAGGTTATTTAGTAATAAAATAACCTAAATAATCTAAGCTGATTATGACTAAATAATATAATTATATTATTTAATCATAATCAGCTAGATTAATATTTAAAGATTAAATGATTTGACAATTCCAATAGAATAACTATTGACTGAGAATAAAATTATACAATTAATTTTAGATAAAGAGTATGAAAGAGTTAAATTGAATGATGAATCTGAAGATTAAAACATGGTTGCAATATTTTGAAGAACAGGAAAGTAAAGAGTTTGATATGAAGAAATGAGAATTTTTAGAAAATATTTAGAAATTATATAACAAAAAAACTTCTTTAAAAGTAAAATACAAATAAATATTACAAGTTTTTTTTATGGCAACAGATAGTAAAATTTTCGTATTAGCAATATAAATAAATTCTTATTTTAAATCAATAATTTGAATAAACACCTTTTATTATTCTTTTGTTTTATTACATGATAAAATTTTTTTAAATTTAAAACCTCTATACAGTCACAACTCATGTGATTTACATAGAGGTTGACTATATAGAGGGATTCTCCATACAGTCACATCTAAATATAAGCACACCAAAAGTGTGCGCCCGACCGCGTGATTATATAGAGGTATGACTGTATAATTTTAACATATTGTACGATTATTAAAGTTTTATTTAAATGTTAACGATAATAAAGATCACTCTAATCTATATTTTAAAAATGTAATATGATTTAAATTAAAAGAAAGATTATGATATTTACCTATTTTTAGTTACATTATTGGTTCTATCCACACCTTTCTTTTTTTTAAAAAAAAAAAAAGCTTTTAAGCTCGGAATGATCACGTGACAGTGTTTCGGTAGACCTTAATTATAATGCAAAGATCTTGGTCTAAAAAAAAATTTCTCATCCTTTGATAATGCAAAAAAAAAGTTTTCATGATTTGATTTTTAATTGTATATTTCGTTTGAATTATTCAACTTCAACAAAGAAAACATTGGTTAACAATGTTTATACAAAATTTGATAGACTTAATCCTTCAATGATGATTAAGTCTCAAAAAAATGTGAAACAACAAAGTTTGACGCAAAAAAGAATTTTTACATCTTTAGCTTTCAATGAACCTATGATACAATTCTCATGGACAACGATGTTATATTTATTTTTTGGAGTTCCATTAGGAGTTTACCTTTACAAGGTTTAGTATGTTAATGTAGTATCTTTTCATTGATGGAAATGTAAATAAAAAGCTTTTTCCTTTTTTTCTTATAAAGTGTACCGCATTGGTGTTATTCCAAAATAAATTGATATACATGCCATATTTACCTTGGGATGGACGCAAACTTGCGTTTGATGAGTCATTGGTTGATAAAAGGTTAGTAAGTAAACAAGTAAAAGTTAAAACCAGTGACATGCACGAGCTAGTTGGAATTATTTTAAGGGCAAAGGCAACGTCGATAAAAGATGATGTGCGAGACGGTAGCAATGCTCCCGTGATGATTTATCTTCAAGGGTAAATATAAATAAATAAAGAAATAAAATACTTATTTCGCTTCGTTAATAAAATTTTTTTTTTCGATCTATAGCAACGCTGGTAATACACTACTTCGATTACCACTCTTCTCTCGTCTTTTATTACCTCCAAAAAATTCAATTCCAAACTTACATGTTGTCGCTATAAGTTATAGAGGTTATTGGCTTTCAACTGGATCACCTTCTGAATACGGACTTAAGAAGGATGCAATAGCAATTTATGAATATGTGAGAGAGCTCTTCCCCAAAAATCCTCTTTATGTTTACGGACACTCTTTGGGAGGTGCTGTTGCACTCTATTTAGCTTCCCAGCAAAATATTCAAAAAGATCTAAAAGGAATTATAATTGAGAATACTTTTACTTCCATAAAGGACATGGTTCTTAGCATTTATCCTCAAAAGTGGTTACCATATAAATATCTTGTACGCCTACCATTTATACTTTGGAATAAATGGGACAATTCACGTACAATTCAGGGAATTACCACTCCAATATTATTCTTATCATCATATAACGATGAGATTGTTCCTCGGAAACAAATGTTGGAATTATTCAGATTGGCTGAGAAATCTAAAAAGAAAGTATGGATAAATTTTGACAAAGCATTGCATATGGATACATACATTCATAGAGGATACGTAAAAGAAATCAACCAATTTATAGAGGAAACGAAATAGCTCAATAATTTATTATAACAAACAAATACGTGATATACGTATAATCATTTTTACGCATTCTTGTGTTTAATAATAGGATGAGCGAGGTCTAAAAATAGAGTAAAAAATATTAATTTATATGTACCACATACTTGTGATTTTAAATGGCAAGACATGATCAGGTACCTGGACCATCGTTGATTGGTACAATTCCGGTTGGATTAATTTGTTTGTGGCTTTCAAAGTAATGATGTTTAATATGATGCATATTAACGGTATCGGCAACTAAAAAAAAAAAGGGTGATACTTAATATTTTAAGATAGCAAAAAATAAATAAAAAAATCCTTACTTTTCGGAAATTGATAAATTTGCCTAGCCCAACGAAGAATATTAGGATAATCATGTTCAATCGTTTTCTTGTTTGTTTTAAAATGCGTGTGATATACGGGGTCAAATCTAATTCAATATGTATGTGACACGCAAGTTATTTTTGGGTAATTTAAATTTTTTGCCAATTAATTTATGAGTTACCTCACGATGGTTGTCCAAAGTCTAATATCAGCTTCAGTAAAGGTATCTCCTACAAGAAATTCATGTTTGGAAAGGATTTCTTCTAATCGATCCAATGACTTGAAAAGCGGTTCAATATGTCGATTATCTATAAGGAAAAACAACCCAAATTAATTAAATTTTTTTTAAATAATTTTGGGATTATATATTTATATAGTATAACTTACAAGCTTCTTGAGTTGTGGCGAAACCGCATTTGTATACCCCATTATTAACTGTGTCATAAATCCATTCGTTAATTTCATCGATTTGTGCGCGTAAATGTTCGGGATAATAAGTTTTGCCCTTTGTGGCTGGGGTGAAATCATCAAATACATCATTAAATATACGGATAATTTCGCTGGATTCGTTATTAACTAACGAGTAAAATGTATTAGAAAGTCATGTGTGAAAACAATTGCACAAGAATTTTATATTGTGGAAAAAAAAAACGAAAATATATAAAATTACCTATTGTTTGAGTTTTTTTGTCCCAAAGAACTGGAACAGTGAATCTAAGAACAATATAAATTTCTTATACACTGAATAAAAAAAAAAAAAAAAAATCAAATCAAATCAAATCAAATATTTATACCGACCTTCCTTCATAATTGGGATTAGCTTTGAAATATAATTCGCGAATATATTGAGCATTATTAATATCATCTGGAATGGAACCCGGTTGTTCATCGGGCGTACTAAACTTCCATCCTTTTTCACCCATTAAATAATCGACGACACTTAACCCAATCAAGTCTTCGAGGCCTTTAAGTGCACGGACGATTGCGGTTCTATGTGCCTAACCAAATAAATAAAATCATACGTTTATTTTTTTTTTTAAAAAAAAAAAATAAAAATAGAAACAACATTACCCAAGGACAGGCCCAACTAATATACAAATGATAACGATCTCTGCATTGTGAAGAAAAAAAGTAAAAATAAATAAAATAAAATATTTAATCTTATAAAAAATAAAATTTTAGTACAAATTTACTTTTCTGCAGAAAAGGGCGCGTTTGGATCATTGCTAATTGTATTGCGAAAATTAGAGGGCTTTCTGCGGAATTCACCGTCAGCAGAAGCCCAGTTAAGGATTGTAGTTTGTTCTGTGCTATTTTTTTTTTTTTTTTTTTAAAAAAATTAAAAGATATATATTTAAATCGTAATTATTTAAAAAATCTTAAATTTCATTACTTGGTAGACATTGTACGATTGAAATTAAAATTGGTTTGGTTAAGACCACTTAAAGAATAAGGTTTAACGATTTTAAAAAGATTAGTAAAATAATAATTCGAGGATCGAGGTTGAAATAAAATATTCCACCTCATTAAAAAGGTTACTAGTCCTTTCTTTTATTATATATAGATATAATTTTTCAAGATTGTTTACAAAAAAGTATGTCAATACCAATAGGGTACACGAAACCTTTTTTATCTTCGATCCCAAATTACATTAACATACATGTGAAATTATGTTTTTGGCGTATATTAAAGATAAAGTTACTATCTAAAACCAAAATTTATAGATTATGCAAAATGTTTCCCAAGAAATGAAAGGAAGTAAAGAAAGTACCATAATAAGTTAGCACGAGTCCAATAATATCTCGTTTATTCAACGTATTGAATATCCAAATAAGATAGTTGAATTTGATAGAGTGGAGGTACCTATTATCATCATTGTACAGTTTTGTTTACATTTCGAATAATTTCCTTTCAAAATAAGTTAGGATGTTCCGGGTCAAATTTGCCGTTTCGGCATTCGGCACTTTTGTATACATCTACTGCGGATGCGCGAATATTTTTGGAAGGTCTCGTGCTTAATATATTTGTATAATCTCGAAGCCGGAGAAGGTTGGCTCGGAAACTCAAACGTAATTAACGTTACATATTCGGTATATCACAAAAAAAGTTCTTTATACCCACGTTTTGAATGTTTACACCAATCTAATACATTTTGTATGCAAATCCACAGGAAAATCGGTCATCCGTGCCACACAATTTTATTTACTTTTCTCTAAAAGTAAGACCAACCGTTGAAATTTTGTTATTACATTTCTATTACCGAATCATACAGAAGTTTCATGTCCTACATAAACTTGCACTTATATGGAATCTTATTAAACAATGACGTATATGAAAATAACCAATCAAATCAATCAAATCAATTTTCATTTATTCTTTCCATTGTCACTGGGTAAATCCAATGTTTTAAAAAGAGTTAAAAAAATTCATTTATGATTTATTCCCAGAATCATCTTTTGATTAACCCCTTTTTATTTTTCTGACAATTTTTTCTTGCCTGCTTTATTAACTCCAATGGAACCTTATTACCCCTCAACAAACTTTGATAATTCCGACAGTGTTTTCGGCATGGGAGATTCTAACTTCCCTTGGGATTTTAATCTTGAAGATAATTTCGAAGCTCAAAAGTTATTAGCCGCTGCCATTGCGCATAATGATCAGTATAGATATGACGAGGACCAAAAACGAAAGTTAGAAATGTTGGAAGATATTACTCAACAAAATCCGTCCAAAGTTAGTCGTAAGTACAATATATAATATATATATATATATATGGAGGCGCTTTGAAGTAGAAAGGGAGGAAACTACCAAAAAAATTTTTTGTTAAATCTGGATTTATTTTACTAAAAAAATAATATTTAGCTCAAGTAAAAATTTTTTTTTTTTGGTAGTTTCCTCCCTTTCTATTGCAAATATATACCGTTGCCGTAGATTGTGATTCTTGAAATTTTTTTTTTTTTTAATTTACGATACCTTTTAACTAAAATATCTCAAACATATTATCTTTTAGATAATTTAAATATTACCTCTGTGCCCCATCCAGATCTTACGGCTGAAAGTAAAAACAAAAAAAAAAACGCTATATATTATTTTCAATTTATTTTAATATAGAGTAATTTACTGACTTATTTTATTATTATTATTATTTTTTTTTTTAATCAAAAGCTGCGTCAGAAGCTAATATTGATTCTCACTCTGAGCAAGCGAATGAACCTCAGAAAAAAAAACCGGGTAGAAAGCCATTAAACAATACTCCTAGTTCAGTAAGTTTCCCCATTATTTTTTTATTTTTTCAATTCTTTTAATTTAAAAACATTTTATTATTTATTTATTTTTTTATGATATAATTATATTGTTATTATTTCTTCTGGTTGTTGGTTATTATTGTTATTTATTCTTCATTGTTCTTTCACCATAGAAACGCAAGGCACAAAATAGAGCAGCACAACGTGCGTTTCGAGAACGAAAGGAACGTTATGTTAAAGAGCTTGAAAATAAAATCAAAGAACTTGAATCCATGTCTGCAAAAAGTGTTCAAGAGAATCAAGAGTTGAAGACGCTTGTTGAACAATTACAAGCCGAAAATTTCATATTAAAACAAACAACTTTCACCTTTGACTTTCCGTTGGACAAAGCAAATGACTCGACTACTGCCCTCGACAAAGATATTAGTGATATTCTTGTGCCGATTTCAAAGCCAACTTCAAATACATTAACTGTCCCAACGACAAGTAGTACCACATTTAATTCATATACACCTCCATCTTCAAACGTGAGCGACGATGAACCAAGTTCACCATCTATGTCAGGCTCAGCAGAATCAGATTATACCTCTGAAGTAAGAGGTACATCTTCAGGAAATTCCCCTAAAAGTTCACAGGCATATAATTTTAGTCCATTAGAAGCAACTACCATCAGTCCACCTCCTACGGTTGTCACAACTCCACCTTCACATTCTTCTAAACCTCAGAGTGCGGAAGAATTTTGTGAAAAATTTACAGATGGTATATGTCAGGAACAAAAAAAAGTTAAAGAATTAAGCTCATCACAAGTGATAGGAGAATCTAGTAGATCATCGTCTGCATTCACGGAGTATCGGGACCCAACACCGTTTACTCCTAATATTGATACTCCTTTCTCTGATTCTGCCCCGCTTCCACCACTTTTTGAACAAAACTTTCAAGAATTTGGAAGTTTCGCTCCAATGGCTACACCATCTGAAGAACGCAGAAACCCTATGAATGGTATACATAGTAATGGTTTTGCATCGATGGATGAAATTAGTAGTAAAAAATTCTTATCGTGTAATAAGGTATGGGAAAGAATTCAACAGCATCCAATGTTTGACGATTTAGAGGGTGATGAAATCGATCTACTTTGTGCTGAGCTAAAATCTAAGGCTAAATGTTCAGGAAACGGTCCTGTTGTACCTGAAGAAGATTTAGAAGCTGTTTTGGGTAAATTGGAAGATAAATAGGATATACTCACATTTTACGATTCAAGTTACAATATATAATTTAGGGACGCAGTTCACGAGTCTTCAATTGAAGTTCACGAGTGAAAATATTAGGAGGCCCCAGAAAATTCATTTTCATTAAAAAAAAATGAATGAATGAATAATCCAATATGGTTCAAGATTTATTTATCTACCAATAAGAAAAAAACTATTAGAACTAAAGCTGTTAATATATTTTTTAATGCACGCAGCTAAGGGTTTAATTCTTGTTTAATTTTGGTAGCTGGATGGTTGCGCTTTTTTTTTTAATTGTGAAACATACTAGTCTTTTTTTTTTTTTTCCTTCTTTTTTCCCCCCATTAAGCAATATTCTTCTAGAGTAATAATTATTACTATTTTGCACTCGATTTTACAAGTCAAAAGAGTAAGCAATAATGGGTATAATTTACTTTATGTACATAGCCTTTTTATTACAGTGTTAATTTCCTAGCATTATCTTTACGTCTTTGTTAAGCTGACAATTGCATAATTTCTTATATATCTATGTCGGTTATTTAAATATCTATTTCTTTACTAGTTTTGAATTTCTTTCAATTGCAATTTTTTTTTGTATGGATTAAATTTAAGCTTTATTAAATTGCATCAAAAAAAAAAAAAAAGGAATGAAATGAAATAAAAAAAAAAAAAAGATTATTTTTGATTATTTAATTTTTTCAAGAAATCGTTTTTTAAAATTGATAAATTACTCGAGATTTCAAAAAAACGAAAAAAAAAATTTTTCCTTATTTCAATAAAAGTTAAGCGGATGCATATCATTCTGCCATGGAAGCTTTAAAACCTATTATTGGTTAAAAAAAATTCTGCTATTGTGCTATTGTTAATTTGGGAGATTTTTTATGGTAATTATTTGTATTATATCACAATTAAAACATTTTTAAATTAAATATTTGTTGTCCGAATTTCAAGTTGGAAAATAAATCAACAATCCCTCACTCCTTCTTTTACTTTACTTTTACCGGTCAAGTAAACTCGGGTTCTTTTTCTTTTTCTCTCAAGTGTGTCGAACATATACCATGTCGGACCTTAGTAGTGAATCAATTGCTAATTTTAAAAAGCACCTAGCCTCTCAACCTATTTATGTTTCTCCAAAGATTACAAATAATGCGTCTTCCTCTAATTCACAAGGTTCTACACCAAGATCGAATGCAGATCCGCTACCAATTTCTAAGAAAAAGAAACCAAAGCCTGGTAAGTCAAATTAGTTAGTTCTTGTAGTTATTTACTTTGAAATTCGAAGTTCACTCAAAAATTGAACCATCTTTATTTGAATGCTAGTTTATTCGCAACCAAGTGACACTGGCGTTGTAAAACATACTTTGAGTCAGCTTCATAAAGTCATTCGTTTCTTGAAGGCAAATAAATCAATTCTTTGTAAATTCCTTTTCTTTTCTTTCTTAGTGAATTCATCCATATTCAACTTTTCACCATCATAGGATAGAATGGATGTCCCACAATCAGCAGAAGATCTCAAAGCAAACAAAATCGCTGATATCATTTCCAATAAAGAACTTTATAACCTTATGATTAAAAATGAAAAAATAAAGTATAATAGTGTTGATTGTACATTTCAATACAAGGTAGATAATATGTAATTGAAATAA